TGCTTTCAGGAAATGGAAAGCTCTTGTTGAGACGGAGACAGGTCTGAAGTTGAAGTGTCTTCGGTCTGACAACGGAGGTGAGTATGAGCTGCATGAGTTCAAGAAGTTTTGTGCTGAGAATGGGGTTCGTATGGAGAAGACAACAAAGGGGACTCCGCAGCATAATGGCGTTGCTGAACGCATGAACAGAACATTGAATGAGCGGGTTAGATGCATGAGGTTGAAGAGTGGCTTACCGAAGACGTTATGGGCTGATAAGTCCGTATTTAGACACACATTTGATGCGTGTTGGGATTGGATTTTGATGGTTTTCCTAGATTTAAGTTGTTGCAAGTCTTAATTTTAGCTCAAGTTATGTTTAACATGCGTTGGTTCAAGTTTTGTTGCATTTGGAGTCAAAATGAGGAATTTAGAGTTGAACATCGGCACTTGAGGAGCAATCGGGATGATTCTAGATGCATTCGAGAGTGGATTGAGAGCTTTGGAGGTCACCGGCAGGTTCACGATGAAGATTTGATGACAAAAGAGCTCTAGGATTGGCTATGGAATCAAAAGAAGATGAATGAAGCTGGAAAACAACGATCAGGATGACCTTTGGTCAATCGTTCAAGCATATCTCTTTGTAGAAGCATCCAAAGGACACGATTCAAGTTGCATATGAAAGCCAACTTCAAGGGCTACAAATCATATGAAGACACCTTTCCGAGAATCAGAGAGGAAGAAGGTGAAAACAGACGATGAAGTCAGATGATCTCTGCTGCGATTTCAGAATGACACCTTCCACCGTTTTGATCATATCTCTTGATTGGATGATTCAAATCACATTCGGCAAATTAGGATGGATAGATGACTTCATTATCTACAACTTTCATGAAGGAAGTTTTGTCAAATTCGTACTAGAAAAAAGGCTGAAGAGCACGGACGCACGACCGTGCGTAAAAGGACGCACGATCGTGCGTAAGAGCCAACAACGCGATAACATTCTGCCTGCTACGCACGATCGTGCGTACCAGGCCACGCACGATCGTGCGTACACCCGAGACGCGGATTTCAGCCCCTTTTTAGTCCCAGTTCAGCCCAAACTCATCTGTTTTCTATAAATAAGACCCCCATACCCATATTTTGACGTGACGAACATTACAGAGAGGCCTAGGGACGAATTTAACACCGTTTTTACGCTATTTTCTTCCAAGACCCTGGGATTATTTGTAAGTTCATCTTTTTAATTAATGACAATTTATTCTATTCATCTCAATTCTGTTGATTCTTCAATTATGAATTGTGAGTAGTTTAATTAGGGATTTGGGGTTGATGAAGGGGTTAATCATGATGTATGGCTAGATTCTTGTCGGTTTAATTGCATGAATGCCGTTTAATTTGTGTTTGAATAATTTAATTGATATCTCTTGTAACCTAGACTGCAGCTAGAATTACAATTGCATGTAGAATGAATTAAGAGAGATCTAATTTGTTCTAGGACACATTCACACACACTTAATCGTTCGCTAAGAGATTAGTAGCGATTAAGGGGCCGTAAGCTCGCTCGTCTTGGCAATAATTTAGGATCCTGTCGCATGAGAGATCAGCCTGGTCCCCTAAATTATTGTACTCTACGCCGCGAGAGCGGTAAGAACTTAGTAATGATTAGCTAGGCTCAATTAAATTAAATTCATGTAATTAGGCCTGATCTGCCAGAAATCTGGTTACCCCGGAATCAATTCCTGTTCCCTTCGTCGTTAATTGAGAAGAAACCAATCTTTTATTTTTATCGCTCATTAGCATTAGTTTTAATTTTAATTCGATCAATCAATCTCGCACATCGCATTTTAATTTATTTATTTCTGTTTAATCGCTGAATTTAGTTAATCTTTAATTCCCTTTTGTCCGTCCCTGTGGAGACGATACTCGTACTTTCAACCACTTTTCTACAACAATTTTAAGTGCGAGAAAACTCACATCATGGGCGGATGCAGTGAACACCGCGGCTTTTTTCATCAACAGAAGTCCAACGATCTCGTTAGAGAATGGCATACCTGAAGAAAGGTGGACGGGTAAGGAGGTTAATCTGTCATATCTCCGCATATTTGGTTCTGTTGCTTATGTTCATACCAGTTCCGTTGACTGAAGCAAGCTAGATGCCAAATCTGTCAAGTGTATGTTCGTTGGCTATGGTGGTGATGACTATGGATACAGATTCTGGGATGATCAGAATAGGAAGATTATTCGTAACCGAGATGTAGTGTTCAACGAGCAGGTTATGTACAAGGAGAGATTGAGTGCACCTGATTCTGAGCAAGAAAGTCCAAGATCATAGAGTTGGATGTCTCTTATTCGGGTGGGAGCAAGCAGGATCAGAATGAAGAGTTGAGCAGTGATGAAGATCCATCAACCCCACAAAGGCAGCGGCCTGCCAGAAATCGGAGAGCACCAAATAGGTATTCGCCTTCTAATTTCTATTTGTTGCTTACTGACAGTGGTGAACCGGAGTCCTATGCAGAGGCAGTTCAGGTTGATGACAAGGGCAAGTGGAAACTTGCAATGGATGATGAGATGACATCTCTCACATCCAATGATACTTGGAGGTTAGTTGAGCTACCGAGAGGAAAGAAGGTTTTGCAATGCAAGTGGGTCTACCACATCAAGGAGGCAAATGGTAGCAAATGCTACAAAGCTATGTTGGTTGTGAAGGGGTTCGAGCAGCGTTAGGGGATTGATTATACCGACATATTCTCTCCAGTTGTGAAACTAACTACCATTCGATTAGTGTTGGGGTTAGTTGCTGCAGAGAATTTGTTGTCACATCAGATGGATGTGAAGACTGCATTCCTTCATGGTGATCAGAATGATGAGATTTACCTGGTGCAGCCGGAAGGCTACGTGGCAAAGGGCAGTGAGCAACTCGTATGTAAGCTAGTGAAAAGCTTATACGGGTTGAAGCAGGCACCGAAGCAATGGTACAAGAAATTTGATGGTTTCATGAGAGACATAATTTTTTTGAGATGTCACACTGACAATTGCTGCTACTACAAGAAGACCGAGAAATGTTATCTTATCTTGCTGTTATATGTTGATAATATGTTGATTGCAGGAGCTAATTCAAAGGAGTTTGAGAGATGAAGAAACAGTTGTTATAACGTTTTTCCATGAAGGATCTTGGAGAGGCAAAGCAGATTTTGGGCATGCGAATCAGGAGGGACGAGGAAGCGGGGATATTGAATCTTTCACATGCAGAATACATTTAGAAGGTCCTGGAAAGATTCAGAATGCAAGATGAAAAGGCAGCAAGTGTACCACTGGGTAGTCACTTCAAGCTTAGCAAAGAAGATTCGTCGAATAACAAGGAGGAGCGTGCTTAAATGCAGAATGTCCCATACGCCTCGGCAATTGGCAGCATCATGTACGTTGTGGTATGCACGAGGCCAGACATTGCACATGCGGTGGGAGTAGTGAGCAGATACATGGGAGATCCCGGGAAAGAACACTGGGAAGCTGTGAAGTGGATCATGAGGTATTTGAAAGGTACTGTTTCTAATGCTTTGTGTTTTGATGGGAAGAATGTAGAGCTGCCGGGACATGTTGATGCAGACCTAGCATCGAATGACTCAGATGGATCGAGAAGCACCACCAGGTATGTTTTTACATTTGGTGGGACAGCAGTTTCCTGGCTTTCGCAGCTGCAGAAGATTGTTGCATTATCTACCACTGAAGCTGAATGTGTGGCCATTACAGAGGCAAGTATGGAAATTGTGTGGCTTCCAGAAATCAGAATCTACTTGGGGAACTTGAGAAAGAGTACAAGAATAGTATTCTTTACAATGGTAGTCAAAGTGCTATCTTCTTGACAAACAACTCAACTTTTCACAAGAGAACCAAGCACATTCGGTTGAAGTATCACTACATCCGTCATCTTCTGGAGATAGAGGCGTTGCAGCTTGTGAAGATCCGTGGGAGTGAGAATTCAGCAGACATGTTTACTAAGGTGGTAACCTTGGAGTTGAAGGCCGACGCTACCATGCTAACAAGGGAGGATTTGAAGAAGACAGTCTCAAGGTGGGAGATTGTAAGGTGTTAGAGACTGTATAACCAAGCCTTTCTTAATTTATTTTTGGAAACACGTTTCTTAAATTATTTTTGGAAATGCATCCTAGTTGCCTTGAGGTTAGTTTTTTTTTTTTACTTTTCTATAAACACAAGCCTCTCCCTTGTAATCAGGTGTGTTGATCCGAAAATAACAATAATATTCCTGGCTTGGTAGCGCCCCCAGACGTAGTCATTCATAGCGAACTGGGTTACTTAATTTCGTGTGTTCTTTAATTGTTCTTCGTGTGCATGAGTGTAATTCCTAACAATTCGAATCTAATCTCAATAATTAAGAATATTGAAATGGAAGAGAACAAATACTATAACAGTGAAAATACAATCAAAATGAACCACTACTACTCCCTAACATTTTTGGCAAATTGCCCAAACATTGTTATTATCGAAATAAAAATAATTACCTCCATATTCTAGAAGTACTATACTTTAAAAATCACATTATTTTCAAAATATGATATTAATTACTCTTATTTTTAGTATAAAATATGATCGTCCTCTAGAATTTGAAAACATTTTTACTTCAATTTCAAAAAATTTACCTTCAAATTTTCTAACTTTCCCCACCATCCCAAAAAAAAAAAAACTTCCCCCCACCTGGTCGGACATCTTTTTTTTTGGCAAACTTTTGATGGCCCGTAAGCCCCGTATATTCACATTATTTTTTTACTAATATATTCACATTATTATAACCTTAGAATTTAACTTTTGATAAAGTGAAAACCTACGAGCGTGAGTAAAAATTAATGAATGGATTAGAATGGTGTGTTGGATTTATTAAAAATAAATGATTACACAATTAATTAATTAAAGAAAAACGAAAAGCAACAAAGGGACAGAAAAACAACCCCTAAAGTCGCACCCTGCATTTCTTTTTCAAACTTACCTTTTCCTTTCCTCTCTCTCCATCTGACCTTACCCCTCTGTCTCTTTGTCAGCTACTGCACTTCTTTTTTCTCATTAAATATTTTTGTTCCACATTATAGATATCTGGGCTCAGCTTGGCTTCTTCCCTACTCATCCCCTCCATTAAAGCTTATCTCCTACTCTCTCTCTCTTTCTCCATCTTTAAAACCATCAATTGATTCCCTGCCCTTCCCATACCAACCACAAAGCAGAGCCCAAAAGCAGAGAAAGAAAGATAAATTAATGCTCTAAGAATCATTCTTTTCTGCTTTTCTGGATTCTATATACCCAAATGGATTCATATGTAAATGTTTCTTTTTACCCTGCGTTTGAGATTTCTACTATTATAATTAGTGCATTTTTGTTGTTCTGTTTGGGTCTGATTCGGAGGAATTATGGAAAATGCAGGATTGCGATTACTTCATGAAGAGAAGCCATGTGCCGCCGTTCGGCAGCTGGGATTGCGACGGCGACTTCCCGATTCCGTTCACTCAGTGCTTTGAGTCGGCGAGACAGGCCGGGCTTCTCCGGTACAGCTACTCCGAAGACCGGGATTTGTACGTCACCGGCGACTTGTACGAGAACGACGTTGTCACTCCGACCATGATTGTCGTCCCCCGTCGCAGGGTAAGCTGCCTCACTCCTACTAATTCTATTTCAACCTTTTGTTTATTTACATACGTTTTGAAGTATATAGTTTAATAGTTTAAATAATGCTATTTATTAAAAATAAAAATTATTAGTATACCATTTATATAATCAATTAAGAATCATATTCATATCGATATACGCTCCCAAATCCTCAATCCGTTTTATTTTTTATTTTTGAATATATTTGCGCGATACTTCGATGCAATATGTGAACATTTTTGTGGAATTCACATGTCTCAAATTGAATAATGTGCAACAAATGTGAAAGGGTCATTAAATATGATAATGATTTAGCCATTATTGGTGGTCAATTTCATTTTGGTCTATTTATTTAGGAATAAAAGCAATAATTAAACCGCGATGTGACATTTTTAGTCAAGAGCTGTGAACGTGTCGCGCGCTATGAAAATGGGAAGGAAATGTGGATGAATAAAAGATTCTCAAAATAAGGGCGTGTGAGTGTAAAAGAAAGTTAAAGAGGTTCAACTAAAATTAACGGAGAAATGTTTTCTTTTACAAATGATTAGTCACAGTGACTTGTCATTTACAGACTTTTTATTCTAAAATACTCCGTATATTATAGTGACGAGTTCATAGCATCTTGTCAAAAATATAATTACTCACATCTTCATCCAGATAAACTCTATTTGTAATGGACATATAATTTTTCTTGAATGTACATAAATTATTAAAGTGGACTATTTTAATTATTCTTTTACAATAAGTTTTTTTAATTTTAACAATATAATATATTTTTAAATACGAAGTGTTTTCTTCATAGTTCTGTTGCCTAAGGCATTTCAGCTTGAATTTCAACAATTTGATTATGATTCAATCGATAAATTAATCGTCAGCCCTATTACTAATCCATCCGCTCCATCTCGGAGCAAGACTCGTAAAAATGCCACAGGAGAATATTAGTCTCTCCTCCCCTAAAATAGTTTGTTTTTTTCTTTTTTGTAGCATCCCAAAAAATATTTCTCGTTATTTTGTTTAAAAACTTTTTTGTGGCCACTATTCTACTCCCTCCGTCCCAAAATCGTTGGCCAATGTTAACTTGCACGTGAATTAATAAAATAAAAACTGTGTGGTTGAAATTTCTGCAGAGGAGAGAATGAACAATAGTCACATATTCTTCACTTTAAATGGAAATGGTCAACCTTTTTGGGACGGCCAAAATAGAAAATTTGGTCAACTATTTTGGGACTGAGAGAGTATTATTTTTACTAATTATTTACTCCTTATAATTATACATTTCTATTTTATTCTACTTTGTTAAAGCGAGGGGTAATATGGTTGGTGATCCGGTGGGTATTACCGAGTATGTGATACCATGTTCAACGGGTTAGGTAATTGGTCCGCTAGTTAGGCGAGGGTCAGTGGGCGATTTGATGGTTTTCTAGGTCTAAAATTATAGGCTTAAAATTTAAGGTGTCTAAGGTTGTACAGGATGGATGTTACACATTTTCTTAAACTATTCAATTCGAGTGCAAAATTAGTCAGCTTTTCTTGCGTCACAAGATTTATCATGACATTCTTGGCATTATCAACAGGGAAAAGGAGGAAAAAGTGGAGGAAAAAAGGAAGCTTGGACGGTGGACGGCTGTGATTATGATTGTGGAGTGGTTGTGAAGACGCCGCCCAGCCCTGTTCCGCCGTCTAAAGCCGTGGATGAAGATCTTTATCAGATTTCTCCCGACCTTCTCTACGCAAGCACCAAACGGCGGGTGAGTCTCCTTTTTACCTTAAGAAAAATTACTTTTAAAGTTTTAGAAACGTAAGAGATTAAAAAGAAGTCGAAAATGGTTTACAGGTAACAATTGGAGCATAAATTTACCATTTTACCTTCTTTTCTTCTTTTTAAATGGCTTTTCACTAAACAGAAAGTTAATGGTTTTAGTCTTTGGATAATGATGGGCAAGGGATGGTAGTGCGCTTGCCCACTCCCAGTTGTCACCTTTTTAAATTCACCCATCCAGGAAGGCAGGGTAAAGCCGACGATGAAAGCGTGGTAGTTATTACTGCAGTACAATAATTAATTACTGCCATTTTAAATATATTGTGGCCCACCTAATTCCAGCATGTTTGTCCCCTCCTTTTTTATTTCCTTGCTTTCCATTGTGGCCCACATAACTTAGTCTATCTAAGTCATTAAAAGCCCATATATGATCCTTTTTGTAATGAAATTTCTTGTACATAAACATGGAACACAATTCTAAGTAAGGTTACTCACGTTTTGTTCATATTTAATTATTTACATGATTTCTAGAAAAGAATAAAATTAATTTTATATTTGACTAAAAGGTCAAAGGAGTAAGTGAGTAACCCAACATCTTAAAATAGTACTCAATTGGTTTAGAGATTTTCTTCTTCTTTTTTGTCTAACTTTCTCTGTCTTGGTTACAGAAGAGATCATGGGGATTCTTTTCGAGCTGCTTGAGACCAGTTTGCTTGTAAGATCTGAGTGATGAAGAAAGAAGAGAAGCAAGGCTATGGGTGTTTAGCATGCATTTGAATGATGCTGATTTGGGCCATTAATATTTGATTATTTCACAAACCAGCAAAAGAAGAGAACACATATATATATTCCATGTAAGATGATTAGATAATGATGATAGTAATGCTGCTTCATTCCATCCATTGGATCATTATAATCATCATCATCATCATCATATCTTAATTAGGGGGTGGGAGTGAAGAATAAAACAGTTGTATGTTACGTCGTTGTAGCTTAGTTAAGGGGGGGTGGGGGTAGCTAGCTAGCCTGCCTTCCTGTCCCTCCCTGTCTCTGTTAAAGTTAATACTCCGTATGTTTTGCATCGTTTCTGTTCTCGACTGCTTTGTAAAAAATTACTATTTCAGACAGTAATGTTGGAAGGAGATGGATGGAGGTTACTATTTATTTACTGTAAACGCACACTGTAGTGTATGGATAGTATCCTGACATCCTGCATGGAATACTTTATTAGTTTCTCTATGTACGTACATAGCTATTCTGTATACAACTTGTGGACATTTGTACAATTCTTCACACGTACAAGAAACCACAAATGTTTACAAATGTTTAAATATGGAATGTTTAAAAGTTGTCACATATCACGTACATTTGGGTTGCCAAGGACATAAGAATATCAGGAGCTCCTAAAGAGAAGATCTGTGCGGACAAGCCTATTAGAGGGTCTTCCTGATGGAATTTTTTAATGAAAATTTTGAGCATGTTCCTCATCAAGTATAGTTTGTCTATATCAAATTTCAGTTCAAAATTCGATCGGGAAGACAGTCAAATAAATCTTGGAAACATACTGCACATTATATGTGCGCAGAATGCGTCATATTTTTCCAGGATTTATTTGACTGCCTTCCCGATCGAATTTTGAGCTGGAATTTTGTATGGACAAACTAGACTTGATGAAGAACATGCTCAAAAAATTTCATAAAAAGGAAGACCCTCTGATGATCTTGTCCGCACGGGGCTTCTCATCAGGAACTCCTGATGTCCAAAGTACATAATCAAGACATAAATTACTTGTGTGGGTCTGTGGGAGCACAAACATATTTTTGTCATAATCATTAGTTTTATATGAGAAGAGCTTACATGTTTTAAGATGACTATTTCTTGACAAAAAATGTTTATATATCTATGATCCAATTTGGCACAACAATGATATAATGTAGTTTGATCTAGTGGATACATAATTTGTACTCGGATCATAATAGTATGTCACAATACTTTTAGGTTATTCTAGACAAACGTCTCACTTCTTCTTTGAAACTAATCAAGACCAAATGTAATTGGATTACAGTTTAACAAATTACACAATATTGCTATAGTCTCAAAAACTCATATTTTTTCAAATCTTGTCACAAATTTTCTTAAATTGAACACACTCTCCTCCCAATTAAACCATGAGAGCTGCTTGGGGTACCCCAATTTGTACTCCAAAGTGTTCACCGTCTGTGTACACACACATTTGGGCAGAAAGTTCTGCTCTCTTTCAAACGAATTGTCTGTGTACACAGGCAATTCAGGGGGTGGTTACAAATTGGGGTACAATTTGGGGTACCTATAGAATTTTTGTTAAACCATTCCTAGGAGTAAGTCCTCAATGTTGTTTTTCAGGGTGTTTAAATCTTCTTTTAGTGTAAACATGTAGGTAGGGGCGCTTGAGTGTATTGATTTGGAATAACAGAGTTAATTAGATGGATTGGCATGCGATAGATTCAGGTAGCCCATGCTTCACGTTCCCTCTGTTTTTATTCATTCCTCTCGTCTTATTCATTGGACCTTCCCTGCCGTCCCTATTTGCTTGACCGTCAATTCACAAACAATTTTCTTGATCTGCATGTTCGTTATGCTTTTTGTAGCAGAAGGATCATCAGTGAATATAAGGATCATCAATTGTTAACATGGGCTTTTAAACGTTTTAAATATAAAATAATACACTAACACATAAAATTAGACCGACCCTCATTTTTCATATTGTGAATGTAGTGAAAATAGAACCCAAAGTCTGTAAGAATGTTGCCTAAGAGTATGTTTGGAAGTTGTGTTTTGGAGCAGAGAGGAAGGATTAGGAGCGTTTATGACCTCACTTATCTGTTTGGGAGTTTAGAAAATGGGAAGGAATCGTTTTGAATTGAATGCTCAATTTTTAAGTTATCCTAAATTGGGGGATTTTGAAAGATAAATGCTTAAATGATAACTTTAACTTAATTAAAAATGAAGTAAATTCAACTATTTAAATTCGTCCTACTTGAAAGTGATTTTAACTATAATTTCTCATTAATCACTCTACTCAAATTTGCAACTCCCAAACAAAAAGAAAATTTCCTTCCTTTCCTCTCCCTCTAGATCAAACTAACCTTCAAAGTCTTTCTCTCCCCTTTCTTCCAAACTCCCAAACATACCCTAAATGTACTACCAAATAGCCACATTTTACACTAAAAACCAAAATGTTAACTATTTTTACTCTTAATAGGATTTATAAGTTCTAATTTTAGTAAAAAAGACCGTGAGTCTTGATTATATTTTTTGCTCCATCATTTTCAATCGAGTGAAAGACTCATTACTTTTGATTTGAAAGTATGATTCAATAAAGAAAAATGACTCACTAGATTGTCACCGTTTCTTTATTATAAAGTAACAATCAATTAATGCAATTTTTGACGTGATTTTTGTCATGACTCATGCAAGAACATTGTTTTTTTTAGGGAACAAGAACATTGTTTCTGTGCTCTAGTATAAGAGTAAACTAAAGCTGCGTGCATCCGATCCTAACACTTCACCGTAGATGGATGGGAAGCATTTGCGGCATTGAGTCAATGCTATTGTGGCTGGTGTTGTGTAGTTTAATTCTCTAATATAATAATCAAGTCAAGTTTCTTTTCAATTGAAATAATGCCTCTTTACAAATAAATGACCGTCCTAATACCCACGCCTAATACTGTCGGCCGCTAGGTAATCCTCTAGTCCAAAGGCTATTAACCAAGCAAAGGGTTTGAATATCTTGAGAATAAAAGGCACTCGAAAAAGCTAAAGACGGACTAAGGAATCTTAGGTAAAGGTTAAAAGAAAAATTAGTTGGGAGTCCTTTGCGGCTTTTCAGTGCTTGATGGAGCATGCATCAGAATACCATCTAATCAAATTTCTTAACCGTACTAAAATTGGGATATTAATTAATATCATGATGATTCTATTACATACACGCAGGGTAACTTTTCTTTGGTGCTTTATAAAACTTTATGAGTATCTCAAGAAAATGAAGTATGAACTGTTTCTGTTTTTTTATTGACCACAAATTTGGATTTTGGACAACGACCTTTGTCGTGGTAATTTAATTATTTCCACTTTTGAAATAAAGAACTGGGAGTTTCATATTTTGCTAAGACCTGTTTTTTTAGAATGCCTTCTCATATATACCTCGGGTTGACCAATTCTAAGGTACTGGTAACTTTATTAGGTTCTGTTTGGGGGATTGCGATTGGTCTATTTTCAATAATGATGCTCAGAAATCAGATTTTCAAATTCGTTTTTTTTTTCATTTTTATACGGACTATGACTGTTTCTAAAATCAATATGAATAATATGTGTCAAAATTGCATTGCTTTGTTATGCAATCCCAACCCCCTCGCACAAAAAACCCGTTAACCGTATAAAAATAAATCAGAGAAAATTGTCAAAATGGGAGTAAAACATGAGGTAATTGCAAAAGTAGGACTTCTTCTACTTCTTGCCCAACCTCCTCCTCCTCCTCCTCCTCCTCCCTCCTCCTCTTCTTCCTCCTCTTCCTCCTTAACAGGGGCGGATGCATTGAGGAAGGAGTGGGGGCAGCTGCCCCCAATAAAACTCCACTAAATTCATGTAATGTATTAAAAATTTTTAGAAGACCAAGTATTGCCCCCAATAAAAATGAACTGGTGCCCCCAATAAAGCAGCCCGACCTCCTAGCTAAAAGTTCTGCTAGTTTATCATAGGCTCAACCTAAATGAAAAAGTGTGAATTTTAGATGTAAGAACAGACAATGATTGAGATAGGAATAGTATTATTAATTCATGAGTTACTAATTTATTGTAAGAAAATTTAAAGTTTCGGGCATTGCTATTTGTTGCTTATGTGAAGAGTTAGTGATCTCTGGGAAAAGTCTGGCATCTAATGTATTTAATTTAATTGATGATTTGTTAAGATAGTTAATATTAGAAAAATCTCATTGAGATAGTTAAATACAGTATAAAAAAATTAAATAATAAATTATCTTAAACAGTCAAATATATACGTATTCCGTAATAATATAATATTAATTTCACTTCTCACTACTTAATGAAGAGATACTTAGTTACCAATCTTTCATTAACATCGGGTGGCTCAAATATTAATATCTCTGATAGCGCTTCTCAATGAAAGCTAATAAAACTACTATTGACTTTGTCAGTTTCCACGGGAATTGAAGTTGTTTGAAATATAAGTGTAATGGATTTTATCCAAAAGAAGAAACTTTTGCTGAAACAATTGTGATGTATTTTGTTAAAATACAATAATATTAGGTAGGAGAGGTTCTTGATAGGAGTATCATCCAATTGGACTATATATTCTTCTTTTCGGGTTTATTTGTTCCGTGTTTTGGCAATTATTTTTCAAGCATTAGCACTCCGGTTTGTTTTGTCTCCCTCGATGTGGGGAGTAGTTTTGATGTCTCGATCGGCTTGTCTGATTAAAAATTTCAAATTGCTTTCTTTGGGCTGTGTAGATAATGCTAGAGCTCCCCCACCTCCTCTAGAACCACCCCGTGCTGGGATAAGTTTTGTAGAAATGCTTTATTTTTGCAGAAATGCTTTATTTTTGTAGAAATGCTTTATTTTTTAGAAATGTATTTTTTCTTAGTAGTACTTATTGTTATTTTACTCTGGTTTGGATATTTTGATTTCTGGAGTACTTTTGATATACAATGTTTCAGTTCCGAATGTTTTAAGCTTAAATTTGCTCGTTTTGTTTCTAGCGAATCATGTTACTTTATATAAAGTGGCTGAATTTTTTCTATTCTTAGGGCTTATGATCGGCTCTGGCATGACTGTCGGGAGGTTGTCTTGTACGACTTCTTGATATTAATATAAAAAACCGTTTTTTAATAATAAAAAAACACCAATATTGCCGATTTTTGTTCTTCTAAAGTATTTACTGTTATGCCCCCAACAACCTTTTTTCCTGGATCCGCCACTGCTCCTTAATAATACCTTTCTTAATGGCGATATCGATCTTCATGAAGAAATATATATGGTGCCTCCTCCTGGAGTTTCTCATTATCCGGGGGAAGTATGCAAGTTGCAAAAGTCTCTCTATGGGCTTAAACAATTAATATTGAATTTATTAATAATTGCCTAATGCTATAAATTCTAGATTTGTACAAAGATGTGTTATCACGTTCTGGAGATGATCGATGGGTTCACTAATTTAAGTTGAAAGTTATCTATTAATCATATTGAGTGAGCAAAAAAAAAAAACACTTGAAGGAAGCAGAAGGCGCATCTTGGGTTTCTACTTTCTAGTCAGCGAAGATTTTGGGGTGGGCGATTTACATTGCTCGGCAAATTGAAAGCAGGCGAGGGAAGAGGTTAGCTAGGCTTCGTCGTGGGAAGGGTGATCGATTCGCTATGGCATCTCTAACAAGCGGTGATCTCCTTGAGCAGTAAGGGGATGACAGTCGAAGAAGGGAGGCAGGGAGGATAGCCAGGCGAACGTAGAAGTGGGATTTTTTACACTCAATTACTGAACAGTTTGCAACAAAAAAACAATGTTTTTGTCACAAATATTTGTCACGGATTACGCCCGTGACAAATTTATCATGGATGTTGTCACAAATTGCAACACCATCTCAGAAAAATGTTTGTCACAGATTTTTTCCATAGCAAAATTTGTCACGGACTATTTCCATGACACAATGCCGCCAGTTTCGCCGAATATTCACCGGTA